GCTATATCAAGCTTAATTAAAAAAAAAACACTTGAGCGTATCTTATAAGTTTTATGGGGTAGCTTTTCGAATGTGCCAATTGAAATTTTTATTTCAGCTAACATATTAGCTAATTTTACCAAACAATTTTATCATATAAGTTAACTTTTAAGTCACAAGTCATAAACTATCAACTATAAGCTTGAAATGCACTAAAAGCTACAAGCTATCATATCAGTTAAGTTTATCAAACATAGCCCAAATTTAGAGTTTATATTTGATAGCTTATGGTTTATGACTGGAAAACTAATTGATATGATAAACGTGTTTGGTCAAAGTAGTTGATAAGGTAGTTGAAATGACTGGAAAACTAGTTGATATGATAAAAATATTTGGTAAAATTAGTTGATAAGTCAGCTGAAATAAAAATTTCAACGATCTTATTTCAAAAGCTACCCAAAGATGCTTATGAGATAAGTTCAAGCTTTTTAAGAAAGCTCGTCTTACCAAACCAAACTTAGTTTTATGCATAACGTTTATAAGCTAACTTATGGTGCTTACCCGACACACTATTAATCAAATTTATGTTTCAAGTTCATAATGTTTTTTTCGAAGCTCTTATTTATGCAGTTTAATTATTTCTGCCAATTTTCTTATATATCTCCATTAATTTTAAATAAATAACATAAATAAAAATATAAATTTTTATAACATATATTTATTTTTTTATCTTAAAACTATAAGGTGTTATTGGATATGAATTTTATTTTATAACATATGTTTATCTTTTTGTCTTAAAACTATAAGGCTTGTAATTGGAATTTATTTTAAACTATAGTTAATTTTAAAAAATATGTTATGATTAGTTGTAGTACTGTTAAATTAAACGAGTATCGCCCAGCTCGGCTCAAGCTCGACTCGTGAAGGCTGGAGTTTGAGGCTTTATCGAGTCGAGCTCGAGCTCATTTAAAGCTCGTTTGGTTAACAAGTCGAGCTCAGCCCGGCTCGAAAAGAGATTTTTTATAATTCGACTCGTTAAAGTTCGAGATCGGCTCGTTAAGACTCGAGTTCGAGGCTTTAACAAGTCGAGCCGACTTCGATCTCGAGCACCTTAAGCTCGAGCTCGGCTCGTTTACAACCCTAGTTAGTTATTAGTAGGATTTTTGGTTAATAATATTTAAAATAAGATAATTAAAGTTGATTTGATGTAAGAGTAGAAGTAATATAATGTGAAGTAAAAAGTTGATTGAATTAAAAATAAAGTTTATTTAATTATATTAATAATATTGATGACGTGAATTTGAGTTAAAAGTTGGTCGGCTAGTTCTTACGCAGTCTGTGGTTAGTTCGTTGTCGTTCTACACTATGCAAATGGCTTGGCCGCCTAATGCAACATGCGATGGTCTGGAAAAGCGTTGCCGTCAGTTCTTATGGGGAGGCAATAGCTCAAGCAGGGAAGTTCATCTTGTTTCTTGGGACACGATTTGTCAACCTAAAGAACTCGGTGGTCTTGGAATTAAACGACAATGGGAGATGAACACGACCCTACTAATGAAGTTGGGTTGGGCTATGTTGACTAAGCCCCATGCCTTGTGGGTTCGGTTACTCATAGCCAAATACAGATTGGTCCCTGCCTTGATGGACGCGACTTTTGAGTTTCCCAAAGGGTCGTCTATTCTCCGTGCCATTAGCACAGTTTGGCCGTTAGTAAAGCGTGGGGTGCGGTGGTCCACCGACGATGGCACGACTGCTCGGTTTTGGCGGGATATATGGACCCACAGCCCGCGTTCGCTCCTTTGTGACGCGTAACGCGTTAGGTCCTGTTCCTGAACACCAGCTTGAGTGGACGATGTGTGATTATGTTGATGCCGCGCGGGTCGTTGGAAATGGGATCTTATTAGCAACCTCGTGTCAGCCGGTACATTGCTTCGTATCGCTGCCATTATGCCACCGACGAGGTTAGCCGGGCCCGATACAATGTATTGGGGTTTCTCGGAGAATGGATACTTCACAACCAAATCAACTTACTCGTCGCTTTTTCCTATAACCCCGACGAGGGATCGCACTGTGTGGAGAGTTATCTATAAATGGACTGGACCGCAGAGGGTTCGACAATTTCTAGGGCTTGTTGTTCAAGTAAAGCTGTTAACGAATGTTGAGCGGCAACGACGACACATCATAGGTTCACACCCTTGTGTTCTTTATGCGATCGATATGACGAATCGACCCTACATTGCCTTCGTGACTGCGTGGTAGCCACGCAAATTTGGAAGACCTTGATTCCTGCTAAACACTACTCTGTGTTTTTTTATGCCATTACGGGAGTGGATAATTCAGAACCTGCAAAATGGTCTACCTATGGAAGTCGTTGCTTGGGAAACGATTTTTGGTGTCACGGTGTGGCAAATATGGAGGGGTAGAAATGATAAGATTTTCTTCGACAAGGAATTCATCGTTGCTAATAAAATTCGAGAAGTGCGCTCTTTTGTTCATGGAATTCAACTTCCCAAATCCTTTGAGAGTCACCTGGGCAGCTTCGGTACGGGCCGAGGAGTTCGATTCATTCTCTGGATAGCTCCTGAGACGGGAACCGCCAAAATCAACACGGATGGTTCACTTTTGATTTCGAGTGGGATGGCGTTTGTTGGGGGCTTGGCTCGTGATGCCGATGGACGATGGCTTGGGGGTTTGTAATGAATACTGGGTATTGCTCCATCACCGGAGCGGAGTTATGGGGCCTTTTCCACGGACTGTTATTAGCCTGAGAGTTGGGCTATCGTAAGGTCCTGGTTGAAGTCGATAGTATGAGTGTGGTGAATTTGGCGACGGGGAGTTCTACAGACAATCTAGGCATTCATGGCAGCCTGGTTCGGGCAATAAGGGAGCTTCTTGGTCGAGAATGGGTGGTCAGTGTGAAGCATTGTTATAGGGATGCCAACTTTGCGGTCGACTATTTTGTGACTCTAGCTCACCATTATCCTAGCGGTTATCAACGACTTCTAATTCCACCATCGGCAGTTAAACCGTGGTTACAACATGACTTTGTTGACATTACTTACCCGCGGAGTATAGCCAACTTTGCGGCCGACTATTTGGTGACTCTAGCTCACCATTATCCTAGCGGTTATCAATGACTTCTAATTCCACCGTCGACAGTTAAACCGTGGTTGCAACATGACTTTGTTGACATTACTTACCCGCGGAGTATAACTGTCTAACGGTTTTAGACTCTTGCCTCATTCATTTGTACCAAAAAAATGTTGATTGAATTAAAATTAATTAATTTTTGGATTAGATTAATATTCAATCACACCCAATCACATACTCAACAACTCAGGGGTGATTGGATATGAATTAAACTAGTAAAAAACTAGGTGTTTTTGAACTATAGTTAAGTTTGAAAAAAGTAGTATAGTTAGTTGTTAGTGGATATATTAAAATAATATTTAAATTAAAATAATTAAAGTTGATTTGATGTACAAGTAGGAGAAAATGATTAGATGTGATTGTTAGTTAAAATTACATGAGTGGATGGATAATGAATTAAAGTTGATGTGATGTGTAATAATGATTGATTGATATTATTTAATTATATTGATAATATTAGAGATAATGTAATTGAGTTAAATTTGAATTTTGAGTCAGATGTTACTGTAGAATTAATCGAAAATCATGCCCTCAACTTTCATAGTCCGCCTTGGTTTAGAGGATTGAAAGACCAGTTCACTGTTTCACATTAAAACAACATATATAAATAAATAAACCGTGTTCTACTCCTGTCCTGTGCGTGGCTGTGTGATTACGAAGATTCCTAAGGAAAGACCAAAACCAAACTCAAGTGTAAAGGGAATCGCGACACAAAGAAAACCCTAGACTCCCGGTACTCTCTGGCTCAGCAAATTCCGGTCCTGGCCATCTGCAACTCCCGCCGGGCCGCCTACCAGCAGCAAGCAAGCAACACGAGCACCACTCGCCGCCTCTGAATCTGACAGCACGCGGCGGCCAGTGGCCACCCCATCTTCCTGGTGCCCACCAAGTCCAGCGGCTGAATTCTTAGGTATTTGCTGTAAGTTAATTCAAGATTTGACAATGAGGTCTTGTTTTTGGGAAAATTGCATATTATATTTTTCAATTAGGGATGATTTGTATGGCTTTGTGCGTTTGGATTTGCTTTGATGGTGGATTTGGACTTGGATTTGCATACATGTTGTGTGTTTTTCCATATGGCTTCTATTTTGAGTTTTGAACGCGTCTATGTAATCTGACCGCACCCACAAAAGGTGGATTTTGGTGGGCAGCTCACCCGTCTTGACATGTATGCTGAAGATGCTTGGATTTGGTGCTAGGATCAGCTTCTCGGATTTCTTAGGGCTTATTTAATGCTTTCACTTAGTTTCCTTTTCAAAATACTGTGAGAAATTAGACAGGCTTCCCTTGTGCTACGTACTCCTTAATTTGATCTGCACAAATCAATTGTGTTTATTTATTGATTTGGTGTAGCTATTGTCTTGATTCTTGTTGTTGTTGTTTATATATTTTTACGCACACTTACGGCAATTTGAATTTAATTTGTTTAATTTCAGGGAAAGAATCCAGCCTTTCTAAATATGGAAGAGGATTGTAAAGAGAAGCAACTACTACAAGTTGAGGTTCACGACATAGAGGAAGGCGAGATCTCGGATTCAGCCTCCGTCGAAGAAATTACGGAAGAAGATTTTTCTTCTAAGCAAGCACCGCCGCAATCTCCACCTCACCAACAGCCATTGAATAATAATAATAATAATAATAATAATAATAATAATAATAATAATAATAATAATAATAATAATAATAATAATAATAATAATAATAATAATAATAATAATGGTGGTGGTGGTGGTGGTGGAAGTGGGGCTAGGGTTTGGACTATGAGAGATCTATTTAAGTATCAGATCGCTTCAAAAACTTCTTATTCGGGTCTGTATAATTTGGCTTGGGCACAGGCTGTCAATAACAAACCATTAGGTGATGTTTTTGTGATGATGGAGGATGGTACTAACGATTATAGTAATGGTACAAATGATTCTAGTAGTGTTAACATTTCTGGAGAGAACGACGGTAAGTGTGTGATTGACATTGACAAGGAGGAAGGCGAGTTGGAGGAGGGAGAGATTGATTTGGATTCTGATTTGATTGGAGTTAATGTGGATTCAAATTCTGAAGTTAAGAATGTGGTGGGAGGTGACGTGAAGGAGATGGAAGTACAGGAGAGAAGCAAACGTGTTGATTCGATCCGAGAAGAGCTTGAGAATCTGGATGTGGCTATGGAGCAAAAGTACGTAAGATTCAGATAATTTGATGTTCTGTTAATTTTCTGAAAACTTAGACAATAAATGTCTGGTTAATTGACACCTTTCGTGTTTCTGTGTAGATCTTATGATAGAGTATGTTCAAGTTTGGAGATGACAGCCAACAGCTTGCAGAAAATAGTTTTGGAGGGTTCTTTTACTGAAAAAGACACTCTTGTTCAGTTGTTATTAGCTGCAATTCAGACTCTCTATTCAGTAGGATATTCAATTAAATCTTGGTTACTAGCCTGCATTGTCCATAGTCTTGTTATTTCTAGTTTTCCAGGATATTTGGCTTATGTTTGTATTTGTTGGTACGTGCAGGTGTTTTATTCCATGACTGTGATACTCAAGGAGCAAAATAAAGCCGTTTTATTAAGGTTTATTCTGCATTCTTTACGTTTCTTGATTGCCCATTGTTTTAAAGCACATCATTCTTCAATTATTGACCCTCTTGCCCTTGTGGATATGCATTCAGGTTGGTAGCACAAGTAATAAACTTAGAGCCACCTCTTTTTTCCTCCCTGCAGTTGAGAGAGGTGTGATTTTTTCTTTTTATCACTCATTATTTCAACCTTAGGAATATTGTAACTTCAGTGTCTCATTAAGAAATGTGAGTTGTTGCAGTTGGAGGGTATTCGGGCTTCTGTGGAGTCGTCTGCTGATCCTTTAAGCAATGGCAATAATAATGGAAGGATTGAAGCAGCTAAAGCTGATATAAATTTAAAGCCTAATAACAATTCATCTTTCCTGAAGACGTGTGGAACAGATTCTGAATCAACCGGGACTTCAGATCAATCGCAGTGCAACATTTCTGTGCAATATTTAAAATCAGGCCTAGTGAATTCTAGGCAAAAAGGGATGGCTCTTCCACTGCTAGACCTCCACAAGGATCATGATGCAGACAGTCTTCCTTCACCCACACGAGACCTCTCCACCCCCTTGCCTTTTGAACATGGGTTGCTGAAACCTGAGTGGCCTATCCCTAGATGTACTACTGCTCTTGCAAGAGAAAATCTGGTGATGCATCCTTATGAGACAGATGCTGTTAAAGCTGTTTCCAGTTATCAGCAGAAATTTGGCAGTACTTCCTTTTTTATGAGCGACAACCTTCCTAGTCCAACTCCTTCAGAAGAGGGTGATGCTACTGGGGATGGTGAAATAGGCGGCGAAGTTTCCAGTTTTATTACTCAGAAAGTTAATCCTACTGTGAATACCACACTTTCAGGGCAGCGAGTGGTTTCTTCGACTGCACCTATGGAAGCCTTAGCAGACCCGGAAAGTAGTAATTCCGGGGTCTCTCGTCCTGTAAATAGTTCTTGGAATCCTGTATTGAAATCCTCTTCTTTAGCAAAAAGTAGGGACCCGAGGCTCCGATTGGCCAATTTGGATGTGCCAAGTTCACAGAAGCATAAGATAGTTGAGGAGCAAGTCTCGGATGGTCCTGCACTGAAACGACTAAGAAATGAGTTATCAGGTCCCAATGCACCTCAGCCGCCTATCAGTACATCAGCAATTCCTACAACAGCTCTCCCTGTTAGCGGTAGTAGTCCCGTTACAAGTCAAAGTGAAATACTGCCAGTGACGAATTCCAGCACAACATCTTCTTTACATTCTTTGTTAAGGGATATAGTTGTGAATCCATCGGTATGGATGGATATACTAAAAAAAGAACAGAACAAGTCTTCTGATGATGTCAAAAGTATGACCCAACTGGCAAGCACAAATTCTTTACTCGGAGCAGTTCAAGTTCCATCAACTACCAGTGGGGTACATCCGCTGTCTTCAGTTCTTGGGCAAATATCGACAACAGGAATAGTTCAGACGCCCACCCAAGCTGTCTCTGTGGTATGCAGATCTTGTGGTTTAGTTTCCTTTGAACAAAAAAATCTGATTCCTTTCTGCGTCATCTCTCTCTCTCTCTCTGAAATAGATCATTATTATTGTTCTTTATTCTTTTCTATATGTTGGCTAGGTGAAAATTACATTTATTACTTTTGGCAGCTTTCCTATTAGTATTTTATTTGTCTAATTGTTGGAAATTGTGTAATTTGCAGGAGGAACCTGGAAAGGTTCGAATGAAACCTCGTGACCCACGCCGTATTCTGTATAGTAGCACCCCTTTGAAGTGCATGACTGCAGCATCTGATCAACCAAGACTAAATACATCATTCAGTTCATCAAAGATGAACACACTAAGACATGAAGATCAGTTGGAGAAGAAATCTGTGTCTTCAGGTTCTGTGAAACCACCTGATATTGCTAAGCAATTTACGAGTAATTTGAGAAACATTGCAGATCTAATGTCTGTATCCCAAGAATGTATACCTGCTTCAGTGCCACCTCAGATTCCATTTTTCCAACCAGTACAAGTTCATCAAGCTAGAAAGGAAACTAAGGGGGGAATTACCGATTCTGGCAATCTAAAAAACTCGAGTGACGTAACTTCTGAAGCAGCTGTTGCTGGCCCTCCTCGACCATTGAATGCAAATGCTTGGAGTGATGTTGAGCATTTGTTTGAGGGCTTTGATGACCAGCAAAAGGCTGCCATCCAGAGAGAAAGGGCCAGAAGGCTAGAAGAGCAGAAAAAAATGTTTGCTGTTCGCAAGCTTTGCCTTGTCTTGGATTTGGATCATACTCTTCTAAATTCAGCTAAGGCATGAAAGCAATTTCTACTTTTGTATTAGTTATTAGTTATAGTATAATAAAACAATTTTTTTATTTGCTGTTGTATTTGCAGTTTATTGAAGTTGACCCATTGCATGATGAGATGTTGAAAAAGAAAGAAGAACAGGATCGTGAGAAGCCCCAGAGGCATCTCTTCCGGTTTCCTCATATGGGAATGTGGACCAAATTGCGTCCTGGAATATGGAATTTCTTGGAGAAGGTGACGGCAACTTAGCAACTTTGTCTGGGTATATTTCAATACAATCCATTCAATTTTTTTGTTTGATCCTAAAGCTTTCCGATTTTCCAATTTTAGGCAAGTAAACTCTATGAGCTGCATTTGTACACCATGGGAAACAAGTATTATGCCACTGAGATGGCAAAATTGCTTGATCCGAAAGGAGAACTGTTTTCTGGACGAGTTATTTCGCGCGGTGATGATGGTGAACCATTTGATGGTGATGATAGGGCTCCCAAGAGCAAGGACTTGGAAGGGGTTTTGGGTATGGAGTCAGCTGTTGTGATTATAGATGATTCTGTACGAGTCTGGCCACATAACAAATTGAACTTAATAGTCGTGGAACGGTAATGAGCTGCCTTGTTTTTGTAACACGGATGACCTAATATGTTACTGAACTATTCTTCTTGTTCTCAGGTATATATATTTTCCATGTAGTAGACGGCAGTTTGGGCTTCCAGGCCCTTCGCTTCTTGAGATTGATCATGATGAGAGACCAGAAGATGGGACACTGGCCTCATCTTTGGCGGTGAGCTTTCATTCAACACATTATGCAATTTCTTGAGTTATATTCATTCAGATGAAATTAATTGTTTGCGACCAGTTCTGTTCACTACCATTCACTGTTCTAAAAATTGGCCTAGGCGGGCGCCTAGAGTTCTCATGTTTTCTTTAAAATATATTAATTTTATTAATTGGACTTAAATAAAAAATAAGATACTTAATATTGATTTCTAGGCCCCGCCTAGGCGCTAGCCCTGGTCGAGCGCCTAGCGGGTGCCTAGCGACTTTTAGAACACTGCTACCATTTAACAACATCATTGTAATGCTGGGCATAGTCTCTCATGTTTTGATTAGTTTTTGTTCTGAGAACAGGTTATTGAGAGGATACATCAAAACTTTTTCGCACACCAGTCATTAGATGAAGCAGATGTTAGAAACATCTTAGCTTCTGAACAGCGGAAGATTCTTGCTGGATGCCGTATTGTTTTCAGCAGAGTATTCCCAGTCGGTGAAGCCAATCCACACATGCATCCACTGTGGCAGACAGCTGAACAATTCGGTGCTGTTTGCATTAACCAGATAGACGAGAAGGTTACTCATGTAGTTGCAAATTCTCTTGGAACTGATAAGGTACTTCGTCCATTCCTTACTCGGTTATCATTGTTTAGTGGTTGCATTTGTTACTCGACGATGACGACACATTGGCTGAAATTAATATATTCTATGCTGGATAGCCATTTCCATTTGATATAATTCCAAAGGGATTCATCATTTATGGGATTTTTAACCTTCTGAGGAAGGTAACATTAATTTCTGAGCTCATGAACAGGTGAATTGGGCTCTCTCCAGGGGAAGATTTGTTGTGCATCCTGGCTGGTAAAGCGAATTCACCATTTCCCCCCCTTTTATTTTGACTTTACGAGTCTGCTGTCACATTAAATTTTTATTTCTAATATTAAATGCAGGGTGGAAGCATCGGCTTTGCTATACCGAAGGGTTAATGAGCTCGACTTTGCCATTAAACAACCATAAACCATCTACAATATTTATTTAGTAAAAATATAAAACACTTCATAAATTTCCCATGTGCGAAAAGTTGGAGATGAAAACGGTGAACTTGGGAAAATCATAAGTGACTTTCTCCAAAGGATATGTCAAAAATTGCACTGACAGCCCTCAAAAACCCTTGCTGGGAAAGGTGTTGTAAAGTTAAAGGGTGAATCTAAAAGTTGTGGGATGGCCTGAAACTGAAGACATAAATCAACTTATTGACAGCAAAAGTTGGTTTTGGGTGTGGATTTCCAATAGTTGGATACGATGGGGGAAACTTTGGAAAAGTGAATATGCGTGAATGAGAAGGCCTAATAGAGAGTTGGGGACTTCAAATAACTAAAAAAAATAAAGCTTCAAGATGGAACTTCTGGTATATCTGTGTTAAAATTAATCTCGGGCAAAAAATGGATTTCTAAATTTATCTACTTCGATTACTTGAGAAATTTTAATGCCCATTACCGCTGAGCACAGCTGTTAAAGGTGAGGTGAGACTGGAAAAGTGGGAAAATGAAGGGAAGAGGAAAGGTTACTGAACCATTGGGTGATCTTTTGGTCACAAGATACTGTTTCGTTCGTCTTTACAATATAAATTATTTGGATTTGCAATTTTTGTGTTCTTATTTTCATTTACTCAATTTTGTATAGCCATCTAATTTGAGGTCCTTAGCAGTCTTTCTTTTCTTTTTTT